AACACTATAACGCTATATAAACACCAGTCATACTTAGCGTGACCCCTCCCCTAACACTATAACGCTATATAAACACCAGCCATACTTAGCGTGACCCCTCCCCTAACACTATAACACTATATAAACATGGAATCATACTTAGCGTGACCCCTCCCCTAACGCTATAACGCTATATAAACACCAGCCATACTTAGCGTGACCCCTCCCCTAACACTATAACGCTATATAAACACGAGTCATACTAAGGATGACCCCTTCCCTAACAATACAACGCTATACAAACACGAGTCATACTTAGCGTGACCCCTCCCCTGACACTATAACGGTATAAACACTAGATCCATACTTAGCATGATCCCCCAACACTATAACACTATAAAAACCAGGCCACACTTAGCGTGAACCCTCCCCTAACAATATAACGCTATGAAAAACTAGAGCCATACTTAGCGTGACCCCTCCCCAAAACTATAAGGCTATATAACCTAGAGCCACTCTTCGCATGTCCCCTCCCCTAACACTGTATCGCTATAAAAACTAGTGCCATACTTAGCGTGACCCCTCCCCTAACACTATAATGCTGTAAAACTAAAGCCATACTTAGCATGACCCCTCCGCTAACACTATAACGCTATAAAAACACGAGCCATACTTATCATGACCCCTCCCCTAACACTATAACGCTATAAAAACATGAGCCATACTTATCATGACCCCTCCCCTAACACTATAACGGCATAAAAACTAGAGCCATAGCTAGCGTGACCCCTCCCCTAACACTATAACGCTATAAAAATACAATTCATACTTAGCGTGACCCCTCCCCTAACACTATCACGCTATAAAAACACGAGCCATACTTATCATGACCCCTCCCCTAACACTATCACGCTATAAAAACACTAGTCATACTTATCGTGACGCCTCCCCTAACACTATCACGCTATAAAAACACGAGTCATACTTATCGTGACCCCTCCCCTAACAATACAACGCTATAAAACACACAAGTCATACTTAGCGTGACCCCTCCCCAAACAATATTTAATATTTTGAAGATCTAATGTGTTCAGCCCTGATCAATCATCAATAATCAGACATTAATCTGCTGTATTAATGTAGATGTAACACTCACCGAGCTTTTCTGCAGACAGTCAGAGCTGGGATCAGTCTCCTATAACCCTCCTCTGATGTGTTGTATTTCTTCAGGTCCAGCTCATCCAGAACCTCCTCTGAGGTCAGAAGCATGCAGGCTAGTGCTGAACACTGTCCAGGAGAGAGTTTCACCTCTGAGTTTCTCTCTGAGTTTAGATACTCCTGAATCTCTCTGGAGAGAGACTGGTCATTCATTTCAGACAGACAGAGGAACAGATTGATGGATCTCTCAGTGGGGATGAGATATGGTTTATCTTCTCCTTTGATTAAACTCTTGATGTGTGGTCTGGTTCTCGATGAGATACTATGTGCTGGGGTCAGTAGACCCTGTAGGCGTCCCTGATTGGACTCCAGTGAGATGCCCAGCAGGAAACGGAGGAAAAGATCCAGGTGTCCATTCTGACTCTGTACAGCTTTATTCACTGCTCCCTTTAGAACCTCATCCAGTGGAACATACGTAGACCATTCACTGTTTAGTGGTTTAAATATCTGCAGTTCCTTCATGTTTTTCCTCTCATAGCAGTGAAACACATAAACAGCAGCCAGGAACTCCTGAAAGCTCAGATGAACAAAGCAGTAGACCTTCCTCTGGTAAAGCACACATTCCTCCTAAAGATCTCAGTGAAAATCCCAGAATACACTGAGGCCTCAGTGACATCAATGCTGCTCTCTCTCAGGTCCTCTTCATAGAACATCACATTGCCCTTCATCAGCTGTTTGAAAGCCAGTTCAGCCAGTTTCAGAAGAATGGTTCTGTTGGACTCCAGCAGGTTCTTTGGGATTCTCCTCTTTTTCTCCTCATACTTCTCGTTCTTCATGTTTGTCTGAATGAGCAGGAAGTGTGAGTACATTTCAGTCAGAGTTTTAGGGATTTCTGTATGACGCTGTTCCATGATTTGCTGAAGAACAGTGGCTGAGATCCAGCAGAAGACTGGAATGTGGCACATGATGTGGAGGCTCCTCGCTGTCTTAATGTGGGAGATGATTCTCTTGGCTTGGTCTTCATCACTGATCCTCTTCCTGAAGTACTCCTCCTTCTGTGGGTCACTGAATCCCTGAATTTCTGTCACACGCTTGATGTATTTAGGAGGGATCTGATTGGCTGCTGCTGGTCGGGAGGTTATCCAGATCAGAGCAGAGGGAAGCAGCTCTCCCTTTGATGAGGTTCGTCATCAACACTCCCACTGATGACGTCATGGTGATGTCAGATACTTTCTCACACTCATCAAAGTTCAGTGGAATTCTACTTTCATCCAGACCATCAAATATAAACACAGCTTTGAGCTGATCATAAATCTCTGGGTCCAGATCTTTGAGCTCAGGATGGAAGTCACACAGAAGTCCGTGAAGACTGTATTGATCATCTTTAATCAGGTTCAGCTCCCGGAACGGAAGCACAAACATGAGCTCCACATCCTGATTGGCTTTTCCTTCAGCCCAGTCCAGAATGAACTTCTGCACAGAGACAGTTTTTCCAATTCCAGCGATGCCTTTAGTCAGAACACTTCTGAGCTCTGGCTCTTTTGGTCTGTTATCTTCTTCTCTTTCTTTGTGTCTGAGACTGTCAGCCTTCACAGCTCTAATGTTCTCTTCTAGTGCTTCTCCTTCAGGACCTTGTAGAGGTTTAAAGATGTCTAAGCAGTTGATTGGAGAGACTTGTACGTGTCTCCTGGATGTTTTCTCCATCTGTAGAACCTCATGTTCTTCATTCACTCCTTCACTCTCTCCCTCTATGATGTAGAGCTGTGTGTAAATCCTGTTCAGGAGGGTTTTATTTTCTTCTGTTCTGATTCCCTCAAATAAGCTCTCGTACTTGTTCTTCATGCTGGTTTTGTGTCTCACTAAGACTCTGTGAAGGACGTCATCCACTGGTTGGTGAATATCTGCCAGAGTGTTTATCTGCAGTGCTGTTTGTGTGGAGTGCAGCCTAATCAGGACCAAACACAGTAACACAAACATCGTTAACACGAATACCCATAATAATCTTCTAATCATGTATTTCATTAGATTTTAGTTAAAAAATACTTTTAGTTTACCTCAAATTCCCAAGATAACTTAGTATTACGTGTTTTGTTTTTGATTTCTCCATAACTAACAATTATAAATATTCCCAGGCAATAATTTAGTTCTATAATATATATATATATATATATATATATATATATATATATATATATATATATATATATATATAACATTAATTGAGACTAAATTTGGTTTTAAATATTATAGAACTGGTTATTAATAGTTAAAGGATCACTAACACACTGTGATCTGAGCAGCAGTCAGTCAGAATCAAACCTGCACTGAGGCATGTGGCCCTGTTTGGGTCTTTTTCTCACTAAGCTGGTATTAAGTTAGCCAATGAGACTCTGCAGACGTCTTAATAACACAAATCTCAGTGTAAAAATAACCAACCTGTTTGTAGAAGCTGCTCAGCAAAATATGAGCATGTTGAAAATCATACTATTATTAATCTTATTATTAGTATCATTATTATTAGTGGTATTATTTAACAATAAAAATATATAAAAGTACATAAAAACTTTATAAAGGTTTATAAAAATGTCATTATTCACTTTAAATTTTGTAGTGATTTCCTGTCTTCACTGGTAAATAATATTTGTTGCAATAAACATCATCAATATAAAATTTTGATTAAATTAACATTGTTATGAATTACTGGTTAAACTTGTTCACCACAGTCCTGAAATGAATGGAAGTGAGTGGGGAGCTTCTCTGAAATGGTCCTCTCACACCTGAGCAGCTCCCCCTTCTGGACATTTACAGACATAAACTATCAAGTTCCTTTCACATTCTTTAAACCCTAAAGATCTGTTTGTTTTCTTATAGACCTTACAGATTAAAACAGCATTGAGGGCTGGTTTAATGAACCATTAGTCACAGAAATACATCTGGTTTAAATTAACTGACCATAACTAAACTCTTATTAATTATAATTGCACTTTTGAAAATGTAGATAACATAAAACTTGATGTATTGACATGTAGAGTGTATTCACTGTAAAAATAAAAAATGATTCTGTGTGATGATACATGCTTGTGTTTCATGACACCACATACACACAGCACCACTGGATAAACAGACTCCATCCACCGTCTCCTGTCAGTGAAACCCTGATGTCCTGCAAAAGCCCAGACAGCACCAATATGCTCCTTCTGCTAAAAATTAGCAAGACTCAAAACCAGACAGCTGTTTATCTGCCAACCTGTGTGTCTATTGTAGTGAGTGGTCCGTGGTGGAGCTATTTGGTCTTCATAAATTCTGTAATAAAATCATGTTTAACTGTGGTAGAATATGTATAGGGTATATAAACCAAAAAGGTAAATAAGCGTCCTTAATGTTTCTGTCTTTGTAGGACACAGGACTGAATGTTTAGGGAATGTTCAGACCATCACTCCTCTCACACACAGATCTGGACACTGGAGAAACTGCTCTCTGGGTTTCAGTCCTGCTGATATTAAATATGTGAAAAACTCCAGTTGTTATAAACTGATCTACAACATGCAGCCCAGAGCTCAGGAACATGTTTACAATGATTCACTGTCAGAACTGTTGTTTACTGGTAGCAGTTATTTACCCTGAGTCAGAGAATCCTCTCCCTCCACTGGACTGTGCTGGTAACACCATGGACCGGTCACTCTTCATAGACACACAGCTGGGTTCTCCTCCTCCTCTGCTGAATTTAAGAGGTTTCTCCATGGACTGGTCACTCTTCATAGACACACAGCTGGGTTCTCCTCCTCCTCTGCTGAATTTAAGAGGTTTCTCCATGGACTGGTCACTCTTCATAGACACACAGCTGGGTTCTCCTCCTCCTCTGCTGAATTTAAGAGGTTTCTCCATGGACTGGTCACTCTTCATAGACACACAGCTGGGTTCTCCTCCTCCTCTGCTGAAATTGAGAGGTTTCTCTATGGACCGGTCACTCTTGATAGACACACAGCTGGGTTCTCCTCCTCCTCTGCTGAAATTGAGAGGTTTCCCCATGGACTGGTCACTCTTCACAGGCACAGAGCTGGGTTCTGGAGATCCTGCACGCTTCACTCTGAGAAAAGTTCATCCACAGTGAGATTAAAGTGCTGAGTAATTATGTTCTTCACTAAGAGTCATTTATTCTGATCATAAGTCATGATTTCCTCTTTCTGTTTAATCAGGTTAAGAGCTGATATAAAGTTACTCACTTTGAATCAGAGGTTCTTCCTCCACTGCTGGAGTGATGAAGCTCCATCACTGAGGTTTTACTCACCACACGCAGCTGGTCACTGGAGATGCTGCTCTCTGTGAACAGATCATCCATAAACATACATAATTACTATTTAGTGACCAGTGAGTTTGGTGTTAACACACAGGACATATTTTTTAACTAATGTTTTTTTATTAAAATTATCCAATCCATATTTATCACTACAGAAAATGAAGAAACAGGCTCTAGACCTACTGATCACATCTTCTGCTGCTCCAGTCTTTATTAATCATAATCAGTAATTATATGATACTAATATGCAGTGAAGGCTGTGTAGAGCTCATACTGTCCATCACACAGAACTGCACAACAGAGAGTTTTTATCATTTTATACATGAACTCTGATATTGGACATTAGAAAACTTCAATGTAAAAGACAAATAAAAACACCTAATTATTATAAAAGATGATTTTACATTTAACTGAGGTGAACAAAGTCTATTATTACAGATTAAGTGAGATACAGGAGTGTTGAATAAACAATGATGCTGTGGAGACGTAAATCTCATATTTCAGCTTCATCTGATCTCCATAATAATAAAATGTGTCTGTGTAATATTGATCCAGAACTGTAGGGTCATTCTCAGGTGGACGGTGTTGGAGTGGAACAGTAATCTGATCTCTCAGTAAATGGTCCATCACTCTGAGCTGCTGTAGTTCAGCCGTGTACAGATGACCACTCTACTCAGAGCTAATACAGGCTCAGACTCTCCATTAGGCTACAGTTGGGTTCTCTGTAGTTCCACAGGACTAATCCTGTTATGGCATCTTCAGGATCTTCATATAAGAGTAGCTGATAGAAACACTCAGAGACTGATGAACTGAGCTTTTAATAAACTGTATTTACTGATAGAATCTCAGTATAAACAGACAGTAGAACTGATCACCTCTATAATCCTGATAGTCATGATCAATAATGTTACTGTCTCTCTCTGATCTCTCAGTTCATTATTAATAAACTGTATTTACTGATAGAATCTTAGTATAAACAGACAGTAGAACTGATCACCTCTATAATCCTGATAGTCATTATCAATATTGTGTCTGAGGTCTGATGTTATCTAAATGAAAAGAGTTCCAGGTGTGGAACCGAAGCTCCTCTCTCCATGTTCTGTAGAGCCACAGCTCTTCACAGGTTACTCTGCTCTACCTGCTGAGGTTAATCAGGTGAGGCTGGAAGTGAGGAACACTTCCCTGCACCATTCATACTGTAAACTCTCTCTACCTCAGTAGAACTGTCCTCCTCTCTGGATCTTCATGGTGGATCAGTGACTCTTCATGGACTCGTAGCTGAGATCAGGTGAGTCTGATCTCTCTGAATTAGACTGAAACAGAACAATAGAGGAAAATCATACTGGAGTCATACGTGAAGAAAATACAATAATATGCATTGTGGAGTTAAAATTAATTATGGCCGATGAAAAAACAAAAGTGATCAAAGATTCTCCTCACAGAAAGAAGCTCTGATGCTCTAAAAGCTCCAACATTTCTCTGGGTTTATTGGCTACCTTAGCATTAGCTTAGCTTAGCTTCAGTTATCTGACTTTATCAAACAGACCCTTTCAGCAGAACCTAAAACAGAACCCAGCAGCTGTTCCTCTCAGATTAGTGTGGTTCTCATTGTTCTCCTCAGTAAACTGTGAGTGTTGATCTTCAGTAATTACCTCTGAGCTTTTCTCTGTTTATGATCTTCTCTTCTCTGAACAGACGCTGCTCCACTTTCACTTTCACTCTAAACCGGTTTGATCCGGTTCAGCTCCTGCTCACCTGGGCGCGCGCACCAACCAACGCCCAGCAGCTCTGAACTACGGAAAGAGAAAAGGTTCAAAACACGTTTGTAGGGCTGCGTGTGTTCATCCAATCAGCCACGAGCAGCAGAGAAAGTATTGATCAGTATGATTGATTAACGTTTAGTGGGATTACAATAATGGATTTCACTGAATCTCAACGATGCCGTGTTTATCTGAGTGTTCAGTTATTTTATCATAAATAAATAAATAAATAAATATGAATTTCAGTTTGATTAATAATGAGGTTCATAATAATCACTGCTTTACTGTCTAACTCCAGCATATCATCACTGATCTGTTGCTGGTGTGATACAGACTGATGGTCTATATGATTATCCAGGTGTGTTTTTAGGGGGAACACTTTTACTTTAACCCAGCAGAAACATCCAGATCAGCTCCTCCTGCCATGTACAGCTAAGAGAAGCTCCATAATGGACACCGAAACACACACCATGGTGGAGGAGCACTGTGACTGACTCTGTTAGACTCCATAAATAATCAGAGTCAGAGTCAGCCTCATTCTGATCAGCTCAGAATGAGAAACACTGTTAGTTTATCAGAAAAGCTGTTGTTCCCTGAATATCCAGTAGTGGAGATAATGACGTCTCCTACTGTTCAGCTTCGCGTTTTGTCCCCGCTGTCATGCCGTAGTTTCCTCCGCTTTGAGTACATTTTAATAGGCTGATTGTTCCCGAGATTCTCTATGAATGGACTTCGAACATTTTAGACCAGCAGTGTGTCCGACAACCGCCAGCGTTTCAGGGGGACGCCTGGTTCCTATCACCATCTCTGAAAAACTTCCTCTTTAAGTGTTAATTATGAATAATAAGATCAGATTTTAATATTAGAAAGTGATGTGGAAAAGTGTAAATATGTAAATATCTGTAAAAATACAGAGAACCTCAAACAGATTATTATACGATTAATTTCAGAGAATTAAAATAGTTTATATTTATCCATATCTTTAATTTAGATTTGTGTATATGAGAGAGAAATATAAGGAACAGAGAATATTATTATTAATAATAATAATAATAATAATAATAACTAATATATATACTAATATATACTAATAATAACATCATTAACTCAGTGCTCTTTAAAGGTCCAGCACATCTTCATATTTCTGATTCAGTCCAACTTTTACTGAGAAAAAGATTCTTTGACTCTTAAAGTCTCACTTACAAAAAATAGTTTCTTTAAAAACAATGAGTGTTTAGATTGTTTAGATTAATTTAAGATTAATCTAAATAACGTAATTCTTAAGATGATTTAGATTAAATAAAGGAATGCAACACAGAAATGTTAGAATTTTCTGAAACACATTGAATGAAAGAATAATTGTGAATTAATTCAAAATCCAGTTAATATTTTTATTTTGTAATTTAATTTAATAATTTAAAATAATTAAAATTGATTTAATTATTATTTAATTAATTTGCATATAATTTTATGTCACTGCAAATCAGCGAATAAGGCCTGTAGCTGCTTCATTCTAGTGGATCTTTCCCTTTTTTTTAAAGCAGAGATATCAATGATTTGTTCTGATCCCCATGAAAAGATCTGTTTCCTGTTGCAGAGACAAAAGAGTTTTGTATCAAAGGCCCCACCGACTCCCATAAAGCTAGATATAGATCAGGAGGAATACCGTCTAACCCTGGGGTCTTCCCCCTGTTTGTGAAACTCTTCTGGAGCTGTGGCTGCTCCATGACACCTCACAACAACAACTCAACATATGTTCAAAAAACATTTCCTAGAAGTATCAAAATTGAAGGCCAAATGCTGATGTAGGATCCTAAAGCTGGTGGTTAAGCATTTATTGCCCCTTCCATTTAGAAAAGAAGCCAAGACTTCTGAGGGCTGAAGATCACGGTCAGACAATATTGGTGTTCAGCCTTGTCCCTACACACAGAGATTTCTCTGGATTCTCTGGATCTTTCACTGATATTGGGTACAGTAGATGATGAAATTCCAAAGTTCTTTGCTATTTTACTGTGAGAAACATTAGTTTTGCATTTTTTTCACTATTTGCCTGAACAGTCTTTCACAGAGTGCTGAAACCCTCCTCATCTTTACTTCTGAAAGACTCAGCCTCTCTGAGTTTCCCCTTTTTACCAGTCATGTTACTGACCTGTTGCTAATTAACCTAATTAGTGGTGAGATGACAACAGCTGATATGTTGTCTTTGTCTTATTTTCAGTTAAATACAGGGTTTAATTGATTTGTCCATCACTGCATTGTTTGTTTGTGCTCCTCCTCACAATCTAGACTGTGTTCTAACTGACAGCTTTACTGTGGTCTGTATCATCTCATCCATGAGCACCTATTACTGAGCAACGTGTTCCAGAGAAACACACAGCTCACTCCCACCTGTCTGTTGTGCAGGTTTTTTTCTTTTGCTTCTCGTTCTTTTCCATCCCCTGATCCTGTGCTGCACTGGCTTCACCCGAAGGTTTGGTTTTGCTCCATGGCTGCTAAAGGGCTGTGAAAAGGTACTTGCCCCTTCCTGATTGTCACTATTCTTATGTATTTGTATGTAATATTAGACAAAGAGAACCTTTTGAAACAGAAAAAAAAAAGATTTTAACAAATGATTTCATTTATTTTAGAACCAAAGTCACACTCTACTGTGCAGGGCTGCTTTAACTGAGACAGACTGGCAGCTTTTCAAGCATGAACCACCTGTTTGAGGCCCTGACACAGCATCTCTGCTGGGCTCAAGTTAGAGTTTTGACCAGGCCACTCCAAAACCTTTATGTCCTTTCAGCTTCAGCTCATGGACAGATGAGCTGATACTCTCTAAGAATTCTCTGATACAGAACAGAACTTCTTCATGTCTTCTTGTTTATTTAGTTATTTACTTGTGCTGTAAATGTGAGATGAATGGTGGTTTTTGCTTAGCTGGGGTTTCTGCCTTGCTGCTCTTCCATGAATGTCACTCATACCCACCCTCCTTCTTCCAGCAGAGTCATGAACACTGACCTTGACTGTAGCAGAGAACCTGCAGTTCCTTGGATGTTCTCTGGAACCTTTGGTGACTTCCTGGATGATCTGCCCTTGGAGAAATCCTGGCAGGCTGACCACTCATAATAAGATTTATAGCTTGAGAGTGCCACACCTTTCAAAACAGCTCCATGCTTTGCCGAAGCTCCAGACTTCATAGTAATGTGAGAACAGTGACTTTGATACAGGCTTTGATTCAGTGTGAGAATCAGCGGGTTTTGAAAAAGTAAAGAAAGCTTTGACGCCTCAAAGTTTATATATTACATCTTACCACAAAGCACAGCTTCAAAAGAAATGTTTTTATTTTTTGAAACTGTTTTAATATAAACAAATAAGAAACCACAATCAAACAGCACCCCTCAAAAAACTACAGTATTACATACAGTACAATATTACATTTAAACAAAATGAATAAATAAGGTTTTAACAGAACACGTGGTACAGTAGTAGTGCATTATGGGAAGCTGTAAACGGTACATATACAGCTGTGGACGGAGCTCCGCTCATTTGCGTTGGACGGTCAGTAGGTAAGACCTGCGCTGCTGCTCTCTGTAACTCACTCACCTCCACTTGAAGTCTGTCGGGTTCTCTGAACAACATCAGTGCAGAACCGAGCTGTGATTTTCAGCAGAACAGTCAGGATGGTTCTCTGAGAGTTCTGCTTCTCAGCTCAGTGAAGGAGAGAGAGAGAGAGAGAGAGGGAGGGAGGGAGGGAGAGAGAGGGAGGGAGGGAGAGAGAGGGAGAGAGAGGGAGGGAGGGAGAGGGAGAGGGAGAGGGAGGGAGGGAGGGAGAGGGAGAGGGAGGGAGGGAGAGGGAGAGGGAGAGGGAGGGAGAGTCGTCTGTGGGAAAGAATTCATCACTAAACTAAACTCAGCCGCGCAGATTAAAGCCTTAGAGATCACCTGGAGTTTTTTACCCTGAATTTCCCGCGAAAACGGTTCACTCTTCTTACGAGGCTTGAGTTCAAATCCTTTTTGAATTGTCCGTTCCACCTTAAATGGTCAGCAGTCACAGCTTCGCGCCTCAGGCTTCTCAGTTAAATGTTCAGCTCCACCTTCAGTGATGCAGCAGTTAAACTGTGTCTCCTCAAACGGGCCCGAGGCGGCGGACTGTACCAGCTGCCCCGTTTAAGGTGGAGGGAATCTGGAGTAAGAAGTCCAGATTCAGCTCGGCGCTTGTTTTTTTTCTTCTGGTCATTTTGGCGCGGTTTGCGACGCTGAAGCGGAACGCGGGAAAATCAGGGTGACTGCGCGCGCTTTAAGGCCTTAATCTGTGCGCGCGTGGTTATTTAACCCCCGCAGCCTGAGATAAGCCTCCGTTTGTAGAAGCGCTGAGGAAGAGCGGAGAACTAAAGAGACTCGACGGTAGTTTAACTCCGTCTCTCCTTCGCTGAGCTAATGGGTGGAACGTCTTACAGGAAGTGAACATCTGTATTCCCGCCAAAACGCTTTACTCTTCGCACGAGGCTGAAGTTTCATTCCTGTTTGTTTTCTGTTCCACCTTAAATGATCAGCACCCACCAGAGCAGCTCTAAAGAACCCACCCAGAAATGACCCCACAGTTCTGTATCTGTGTTATGTGAGTAAATACATGTTTACTGTTCTGCACTATTAAGTTCATTTACTGTAAAATAATCACATCCATTTACACAGTATAACGATATTTTAGATGTGTTGATTTAACACAGCTTGTAGGAGTGTAACTGTTATTAAGACTTACTTTTGGACATGTACTTTTTTTTTTTTTTTTTTTACAAATTTGACCTGATTGTATCAAACTTGCCTTAAATCAAAATTACTCAGATTACTGATTTTCTACAGGCTTAATGTTTGACAATAGTGATTCTGCTTATTGTACTTATTTTTGCATTTTGGTCATTTTAATAGGCAAATGAATCTTTAAAACTCACTGATAGTTCTCATAAAGTTGACCCAGCATAGACAAACATGGATTAAAAATCCTTTACATATTAAAGTGTGTTTTT